GTGAATGACTTTTTTCATATCGTGGGCTTAAAAATAAACTTCTTGTATGGGATTATGGCTTTCCTGCTGCACTCTGCCCTTTGGACAGAAAAATGAGCCCAGCCCTGATGGAAAGATTAACGGCCGCTTCCTGGCTCCATGTGAAAGGTGATGCTGAACACCTACACTACAGCCCTGTGCTGTGTGGCCATGCTGGGTCGGAGGTTAGTTATTAACTGCTTCTCAGAGGGGACAGGAATTAAGTGAATTTAAAAAAAAAAAAGACAGAAGCACCAAAAAACTGGTGTTGATAGTAATGTTGAAGCCCACAGCCGTAATCTGATTTGGGATTCCAGAGGGCGTGATTCGTGAACTTTGTTAATGGAGTTTTCAGGCTCAGAGCCTGGGCTCTGGCAGATCAAAGGCTTGCCCAGCGCCCCAGTGTGCCCCTAAAGAAACAAGTAGTGCTGAAAAGCAGGAAAGGGGGTGTGTGTATTCCACACAGCCACAGTGGAAGGAGGTCTGGCAGCCCTCAAGTCTGACTTGAGGTGGGTTTAAATACAGGGCAAATGGTACGCATAACTAAGCAGTCCCGTCATGGCGTGACCCCCCACCCCATCATCCATCAGCATTACCAGGCTCCAGTGTTCCCTGCAGAATTCTGAAATCTCTCCCTTGGGAGAAGTTTCCTCCTCTAGCCGGCACCTTCCTTTTCCTTTCCTCACCGTGAGACTCCTGAGGACATTTTAATATTTGGGACACAAGTCTCTTAGACTATCTTGTCTGACCATGAGGGCACAACCCGCAGAATCAACTAAGCCGGCTCATAGGGGCTCAGAGAGCCTGCATCAGGGAGCCTGCATGGGTCTGAGCGTGTATGTATGGTTTCTGGTTGAGTAGTTTGGTGGTCTTGTGGGACTCTTAACAGTGTGTGTTGGGGGTGGGGATCTCTGACTTTTTGCCTGCCCTTAGGACCCTTTTCCTCCTATTGGGTTGCCTTGTTCAACCTTAATAGGAGGGTTTGTGCCTAACTTATTATAATTTGCTATTCTGTGCTCAGTTGTTATCCTGGGATGCCTGCACTCTCCCTCTGGAAATGGAGGAGTGGATCTAGGGGAGAGAGAATAGATGGGGGGGGGCACTGGGAGGAGTAGAGGAGGTAAAACTTGGTCAGGATGTAATGCATATAAAGAACTTTAAAAAATAAAAAGAACGAAACAAGAAAAAAAGAGTATCTTGTCTGCTGGCTGCCAGGCGATTTCACTGTGGCTTCTGGTTAAGCTGATGTCAAGCGTCTCTTGGTGGCCTGGCTTTTTAGCAGGAGGGTTGTATTGGCCGAAACATTTCTTTCTTTGCTGTAGTGGGAACACTCTTGATGGGTATTTGTTGGGATGCTTGCTCTCTACCTATGATTCCAACTCTGCTTTCCTCGCCCCTAAAGGGAGCCCTGGAGCTTCCTCGGCTACGGGCTGGTTAACTTCAGGTTTGCTTGTGCAGATGAGCAGCAAGAACAGCTGGTTAGGTTTCTGCTCACCTGTGGTGCTGGAAGTTTCCAAAGCCAGTCCCACTCCAGTGCTTGGGCGGCGGGTACTAATTGGTGGGGAGCATTCTGGGGTTGGGTACAAGTTTGCTTAGGTCCAGGTAACCTTTAGAAAGGCAAGCCTGCTACCAGGAGTGGTCAGGTGGCATGTTCTGAAGGCTTTGAATGCGTTTGCATGCTTCAGAAGCCTAGTGGAGAAGGTCTGGGGTGGGGGTGGGGCAGACCCTTCTCCCTGGGTGGCCCTGATGCCTGCAGCCCCTGCTATGGCCAACTGAGCTTTACATTCAACTTTCAGCCACTTCTCCTTTTCAGGTGCCTGCTAGTAATATTACAAAAGCCAGACACCTTTCATCACCAAGGCAACTGCGTTTACCACGTGACTATCAGGGAAGGAAAAACACAAATAATCCTCTCGACCTCTTGACAAATATGCAAAGTATTCCAGGCCGGGCCTTGCCCTAGAACAGTGTACTGGAAAGATAGGAGACTCGCGTCTCCAGCTGCCCCTGGTCCTCCCTCACCTTTTCATTGCCAGCCCTGCCCGGCATGGCATCTCACTTCACTTTGCTGGGTCTTGGCTGCATTTGTTGGTACAGTTCCAGTTCTTCCTGGCAGTTGTGTGTGTTGCATCCTCAGTGGTCATCTTATGGGTTATGACGGGGCAAGCTGTGTCGGAGTGTCTCCTCTCTCCTTTTATTTTGGGATATTTAAGTTGAAAGAGTATGAACTGGGCTGTAGCTCTGCAGTAGAGTACTTGCCTATCACGCAGGAGGCCTTGTATTTCATCCCTAGCAGCCCCTGCACACATACTCACTTCTGTGCATGCGCGCGCGCACACACACATACACACAAAGGGGGAAAAATCTTAAACCCTCCTCAGAAAGGATTTGAAAATGAATCAGGAGAAGCAGCAAGCCTCCTGGCGGAGGAGAAGGAAGAGGAGCTCAGAAAATGGAGAAGCCTTGCTGCCCTGCACCAGCACTGGGATCCCAGCAATATCTAAGCCTCCTTCCCCTCACCTCCTGTGCAGCTCAAGTCACACGCTGCAGGGCACGCTGCAAGTGCAGCTTCACAGCTCAGCTTCTACTTCCCTGTGTGCCGGGTGAGCCAAATAGCAGGGGGAGATTGGCCTCTGCTGAGCTGCAGTTGGAGGTGAGGGAGGAAGTTGTGCTCATTTGGACAAAACCATCATTTCCTTAGTCTCGGCCCTGGGCTCTTAAGTAGGTCACTGAAGAAAAAAAACAGAAAGTTCCCCATTTGTGAGATGGCCTGTGGCTGGCTGGTTCCTCTGGAGGCCGGCATTTGAAGTTGGTTGTCCCACATTGCACCTGCAACAAACTGGGCTCCCAGTTCACCAGAGATCAGGTTTCCCGACGGAAAATGAATGTCAAGGAGATGCCCCTTTCTGAAGTTTGCAGTCTGAGTAGGTCTCTGGTGCCCCGTCGTTTGCCGTGTCTTCAAGTAGCTTGCAAAGGGCCATGTAAAACACTTGAGTGATGTTTGAAACATTCTTTTCTGATAGCTAAGTCCGACGTGAGTACTTTCGGTCAGTTTTTCATTACTTCCAACTGTGACAAGATGTAAAATTTAGCTTTCTTTCTTTCTTTCTTTTTTTTTTTTTTTGGTTTTTCGAGACAGGGTTTCTCTGTGGCTTTGGAGCCTGTCCTGCAACTAGCTCTGTAGACCAGGCTGGTCTTGAACTCACAGAGATCCGCCTGCCTCTGCCTCCCGAGTGCTGGAATTAAAGGCACGCGCCACCATCGCCCGACTAGCTTTTTATTTCTTACGACGCTGGGGACTGAACCCTAGGCGTTTCATAATGCTAGGCAGGTGTTCCACCATTGACCTACATTCCCAGCCTAAAGTTTATCATTGTAGCCACCAAGTGTGCAGTTGTGTATCCATTCACGTTGTGTAACCAGCACCACCCTCTGTCTCCAGAATCTTTTCATTTTTTCCAGTTTAAACTAGAGTTTAGTACCCTCCAGGCATTATTTCTGTTATGCCCATCCCCCAAGCCCCTCAGCCACCGTTCTAATGTCTATTTCAGTGAATTTGACAGCTCTAGGTATCTGGGTCCCTCATGTAAGTGGAAGCATAATACAATATTTATCATTTGTAGATTTTTTTTTAAATCCAAAATCTTCTTTTTGTTTTTGAAGCTGTATTTTTGTATTTTCCCTTTCTCCCTGCCAAGCTTTATTCCTTTCTGTAATCTTTAATTTTTTTTTATAAGTGTTATGTGTATTGGTGCTTTGCCTGAGTGTATACTTGTGTGCCATATGCATGCAGCTCCCGTGGAGGCAGAAGAGGGTGTTGGATCTCCTGGAACTGGAGTTACAGATGGTTATGAGCCACCATATGGGTGCTGGAAGTTGAACCAGGATCTTCTGGAAGAGCAGCCAGTGCTCTTAACTGCTGAGCCGTCTGGTGTTTATGTATAAATCTGTATAATAACTTAACTGTACTTGCTGAAGGAAAATATGACGTTGGAACTAATTTGATAGAATTCTTCCCTTTATTTTGAGGTGGGGTCTTGCATTTTTGGGTAGGAATTTGAATGTTATTCTTTTTCTTATTAAAAATAATTTTTATACAATATAGTCACTTCTCCCAGATCTTCTTACCCACTCAACTCCATGCCTTTTTTCTCTCATTAACAAGCTGGGCAAATAAAAAAACACACTATAATTTTTTTTCCCCTGAGAGGGATTTGATAGCAACGCCCCACTTAAGACTGAATGTTTCAAGGTCTCCTTCTCTGCATATTGTCCAGTTGTGGGTCTCTGTTAGTTCGTGTCCTTTTGTTTTTCTGAGATCAGGTCTCATTTTGTATCCCTGACTGTCCTGGAACTGGATATGTAGACAGGGCTAGCCTCAAACTCACAGAGATCTGCCTTTTTTTGTCTGCCAGGTGCTGGGATTAAAGGCATGTGTCACCATACCTGACTATGGTGGGGTCTTAGTCTAGCCTCAGAGTTGTATTACCCCCCGCCCCCAATATCTGGGACTCTAGGCTGCATCATTGTGCCAAGTTCTTTATTTTTAGAAAAATCTCATTATTGGATCGTTATTCTAGATGATTATAAGGATTGAGGATAGAGCTCAATGGTATAGAGTACTTGTACGGTATGCTCAAAGCCCTAGGTCCAATCCCTAGTAAGATGCATCGGGTTACCCTTATGTAGCATATGGACAAAAAAAAAAACCCTCAAAAATAAAAGTACAGGGCTAAGGATGTGGCTTGGGCAGAACATTTACCTGCTCTGCTCAACGTTGGCCCTTGTTCCACCCCTTGCACTACAGAAATGAATGGATAATAAAACAGTTCTGTGTTATCCCCCGCTTCCTGCTCCTCACTGAGACAGTGTAGAAGAGCGTTTGTGTGAGAGGTCGGAGCAGCAGAGAGAACTCACTGATGTCAGGGCCCCGTTGGAGCTGCTCCCATCCAAACGTAACCTCTCGTCCTTTCCTCCTCTAGATGGTACACCTTGAAGTCCAAGCCAGGAAAGAAGGACAAAGAGCGAGGAGAAATCGAGGTCGATATCCAGTTTATGAGAAACAACATGACCGCCAGCATGTTTGACCTCTCCATGAAGGATAAGTCCCGGAATCCTTTTGGAAAACTGAAGGACAAGATCAAAGGGAAGAACAAGGATAGCGCATCGGACACCGCTTCAGCCATCGTCCCCAGCACGACACCCTCGGTCGACAGCGATGAGGAGTCTTCCCCCAAAGACAAGAAAAAGAAGTCAAAGATCAAGACTCTGTTTTCCAAGTCGAATTTGCAGAAGACGCCGCTCTCCCAGTCCATGTCTGTCCTGCCTACGTCCAAGCCAGACAAAGTGATGCTCCGCCCCGGAGACTTGCAGTCCCGGTGGGACGATGACGAGGATGAGTCCTCCTCCACCTCGGATGGTGAGTTCTCGTCTTTGCTCACTCACCCGCTTCCCCGGTCTCCCTGACTTTGCTCTGAGAAGGAACGGGTGGGTCTTTGGGATTTAGTTACCACAGCAATGATGGTGATGAAGTTCACTAAGACTTTCTTTCCTAAGAGAATACAAATGTCTTCTCCTAGGCTTTGGAGCTCACAGAATAAGTGCATTTGAGGTTTTGGTTTGGTTTGGTTTTGGCTTTTCTGCTGCTGTTTGTCTTCTCACAGTCCTGGGGATCTGATCCAGGGTCTTGAGTATTCTGGACAAGTGCTCTAACACTGACTCACACACCAAGCACCTATTGTATATGAAAAAATAAAACGATAGGACCGTCCATATTGTAGTAGGACCGTGTTATATGTCTGATACTTCGTTAATTCCTTGGGTGTCTGCTGAGCCTCTATCGTGTGCTTAACTCCCATGTGGTGCGTCCCTGCTGGAAGCTAAATAGTCCAGTCTCCTTAACCCGAGTTGTGTATTTTGAACTCCAGCTTCAATTACTGAATCCCTTTTAGCCGCCAAATTCTGTTACTCTATCGAGAACATTGCCTTTTCTATTGGTTTAACACAGAATTTCTTCACTTTAGCATCCCTGACTGACTGGGCTGATAATTCTCGTGGGGAACCATCTTGTGCGTTGTAGGATGCGTAGGCAGTACCAGCTCCTTCCTATTGGTTACCACGACTGAAGACGCGTGCAAACGCTGATAGATTGACAGATGCCACTGCCCGCTGCAACTACTTATTACCACCCCCACGTCCACGCCTCCCCTCTTCCTGTCTTTGCAATGCTGATGGCATCATACATGGCTTATCAGGAACCCATCACTGAGCTGTGCCCCAAATCACTCACTCATGGAGTGAGTTTCTTTCTTTCTTTCTTTCTTTCTTCCTTCCTTCCTTCCTTCCTTCCTTCCTTCCTTCCTTCCTTCCTTTCATTCTTTTTTCTTTTTGTTCCTAGAGCCTTGGGCTTGATGACAAATGATTTGCCTCTGAGCTCTAGCCTCAGCTTCATCTCTTTGTTTGGTGTGTGTGTAGGTCAGAGGCTAGCTTGTGGGGGTCAGTTCTCTTTTGACCGTGGGAGCCCTGGGTATTTAACTCAGGTCACCAGGCTTTGCAGTCAATACCTCCACTCCCTGAACTGTCTCTCCAGAACTTAACCCTCTGTGGTTTACTTCCTTCCCAGTCATGTCCCACAAGAGAACACCCAGCATGGATCACGCACAACCGAACCAGACCAACTTCAGCCTTCCCAAGAAAGAGGGGCTCTCCTTCCTCGGCGGCCTCCGCTCTAAGAACGACTCCCTCTCAAGATCTAACCTCTGTATCAATGGGAACCATGTTTATATGGAACAGACAGAGGCTAAGAGTGAGGTCAGGGACAGCAGCCCTTCAAATTCCCCATCCCCGCAGGGCTTCCGGAAGAGGCATTTATTCTCCTCCACTGAAAACCTGGCTGCCCGGTCTCCTAAGGAACTAGGGGAAGTAACCTCTGACAGACAGCTGTCCGATGCTTCCACCAAGGATTCTGTGAAGTCCATGTCTTTGCCATCCTACCGATCTCTGACCAGCGAGGATGGTAGAGAGAGCGTGTCTCCAGCAAACGTGGAGACTCCGAGAGAAATGAAAGAGAGCAAGAAGCAGGAGAGCAAGAAGTCCTCCCTGCTTTCTCTGGTGACAGGAAAGAAAGATGCGGCTAAAGGCAGTGAAGGCGAGCCTCTTCCCACTGTCTCAGAGAAAGAGAAGGAAAGGCAGGGCGTGCGCGTGGAAGCCCAGCTGAGGGAGGAAGACCCTGGGAGACGGTCAGAGAGAGATGTCGTACCTGCCGCCTCGGAGAGGGGCAACTCCCTGAACCGCTTTGAAGATGTACAGATCTCAGCCCCAGAAGCCGGCCTGGAGCCTAAGTCTGAACCAAAGCCACCAGTTCCCGCTGCGAGGGCTCTGCAGACCAAAGCCGTGAAGCCTAGGTAAATTAGTTTTTTACAAATGGGGTCTTTCTCTGCTACTGTCTGACATTAGCAATCTCCACTAGAGCAAACCTGGTCAGTTTCAGGATGTGTATGCAGAAGCCTGCGAGTCTTAAGTCATTTGAGCCAGTCACCTCTGCTGGCCTGGCTTGCCCAGCACAAAGAGCCAGAGGTGTTTCCCAGCCTAAAGCCACAGCTCAGCCATATGTGGGCGGGAGGGGGGGGGATTGTTTTTCTCGGTGAGCTAACCAGACTCTAGTGAAAGGAGAGAGTCTGGCCGATTCTGAGCATTCTTGGCTGTGGTGGGTACATGGGCAGAACCTGGGTTTAAGGTTTCACCTCACGCTGCCCAGTGGAGATGGCTGCCTTTCCTCCTGGCATTTGGCATCCGTTTGCTGGTGCGAGAGACCCTTGGTCCCCCTTTAGTGTAGCTGTGGTCATTCTTTGTCTCCTCTGTACCTGATCATAAGCACCAGACTCATCAAGAAGGAGCAGCTTCTGAGTGACGTTCACATTGACATTTCTCTGGTATGGGGGGGTGGGGTGGGGCAGAACTCTTTGGAGATTGTGCACAGGTGTATTTTTCTCTCCTACGTTTATACTTGTTGCCTTGTCTAAAGGAACTGTAGTCTGCCTGTTGTTCCAGCTGAATCTTTCCCTTGTGTGACAGATGTGCTTGGTGCCCAGCAGTGTCTCTTCCTGTGGGGAGAGTGTGTCTCAGTTGTGGCATGTATGAGGCCCAGGCTTTGATTCCCCGACACTGGAGAAACACAAAGCGATCCATTTGTATGTCAAGAATTGCCGTTCCCTTGGCTTTGTAGATCCTGCTCCAAATGTAAAAAACAAAACACCTGTCCCTCTTTAATGAGTGTTTTTATGTTTCTTGAAATGCATCTGCAACTGACCTGCAGATTTTATTTTGTCCTTTTTGCAGACTGGACGCACCTCCAGAGGCCCAACCCAAAGCCAGGCTTCCTTCCCCTGACTCTGCTCTCTCTCCTTCTCTTCCTTCCAGCTCTCCTCAGGCCCCTCTCTTTTCTGACCCGAGAGGTGACGCAGAGACACAATCCTCTGAAAGTCCTTCTGCCTCCTCCTCTTTCTCATCTCCCCTGGCAGCTCCCCTCTCCACATCCACCCCAATTGAACACTGGCCCCCCACAGGCAAGAGGGAGATTGATGCTGAAGAACCCCCTTTGTTCCTCAAGGCTGTCTCTCAGAAGGAGAGTGTAATGTCAGCTCCGAACACTGGTTCTTCTGCCTCAGGACCGCCTTTTAAACAACTGACCATCCCAGTGCAGAAAGGGATGGAAGATTCTTCAGGGGGCGAGACCAAGGAGACAGGCACTGGGAAGGAAGCCGGCAGTGATGAGTCAGGAAAGAACCCCATGAGACATCATGAAGAACATGTGAAGGTTCCTGTCCCAGAGCAACACTGGGCCCCCTCACCTGAAGAGATCCCGGACGTACCCTCTGGGCCTTCACTCAGGAGTGGCAGCAGTGCAAACCCTGCTGAGAAGTCCCCCTCAGAGGGAAAGACGGACTCTGAGCGTCAGTCTAGGTCTTTTGTGGAGAACGATCACGGTGGTGGGATGGCTCGTGCAGGCAAAGAAGCAACACCCCCTCTTCAAGAGGAAGAGGCGGCCTCCCTGTTTGATAGCATAGCAAGGAAACACGAAGAGATACATTCGAATGCCAGTGGAGGTGAAAAGAAAGTCAAGAAACGTGTGTCCTTCTCTGAACAACTCTTCGTGGAAGAAGAAACAGAAAAACCCACTGAGCTTGAGGAGGAGGATGAGAGCCATCCCCAGCGGCTGACACGTGAAGGACCTATGGCTGGAGGCAGCCCTGATGCAGAGTCTCCTGAGTGTCCCCACACAGAAGGCGCAGGAGAGGAACCTGTGACCACGGCACCTCGGCCCATCACTCCTTCTGAAAGCGAGAGTTTCTCAGAAGATCCCACAAGTGGCGCCAGCCCAGCAAGAGTCACCCGACTCTGGAGGGTCGTGGAGAATGGTGGCCTTATGACTCAGTATCAGAGCAAAGCCAGCGATCATGAAGGCCTGCTGTCTGACCCGCTGAGCGACCTCCCATCTGCCTCTGATCTGAGCCTGTCTCTTCCTTCCATTCCCGAAGTGGCATCAGATGATGAAAGAATAGACGAGGCTGGAGATGGAGGAGAGGCAGAAAAGCTGGTTGATCCACAAGCAGGAGTTTCACCCCTGAACATGTCACCTTCCGGTCTGGAGAAGGCAGAGGGGCTGAGTGGGGGGACACATGAGTCGGTGCTCGTGGAGAATCCACATGACTTCAGGCCAAATTCTTCCAGAATGGCTCCTTCCGAGCAGACAGCAGCACTAGGAATTGCTGAGCCCCGTCTTGGCAAGAGCTCAGGTGTGAATAAACAGTTACCAGGCCCTGGTACTGCCGAGGAAGAGGAACTGGAGCCCAGTGGGAGGCCAGGCTCTCCTCTCCGCACACCCCAGGGCTCTCCCCTGCCCAGCCCCCCACCCTCTGAGACCTTTCCTGCTGCACACTCTTTGCCTCGCTCTCCACATTCCAGTGGCCACCACACCAGTGTAGCAGAGTCTCAAATAAAAGCAACCCCAGAAGGCTCCGCTGGTAAAGTTGAAAATTTTGGCAAGAAGAAGCCACTCCTCCAAGCCTGGGTCACACCCTCAGAGATACATCCAGTCTCGGCTCAGCCAAGCGCTGGAGCTGGGGCAGCCAAGCACAGGTGAGAGCCGTTGGGGGAGATTGTCTGTGCATGGGAAAGCTGCCCTCTCTTTGCTTTTACCTGCAGAGACCATGTCTTCAAAACGAACGGATGTCCTAATGTCAGAATTTGCCCGTTTCGCCGCCGGCAAGGCTTGTCACTGCAGGGCCATGTACTTTGTGTTTGTACTCAAGAATCCAGCCGCGTGTGTAGCAAGGATATGGTAGTCTTCAAAGATAACCTAGGAATGCTCCTGCAGTGTGATAGAGCTCTGTAGCTGCGGAAGTGTGGGGCGCTTGTGTCTCCAGGGGCTCAGAAGCCAGCTGAGGTGGAGTGGTAGAACAGGACATCCTCTGAGGACCGCTCAAAGAGCAGCTCGCGTGATCTGCGCTCTCCCTTACTGTAGACGCCTACGAGGATGAGAAACTTCCTTTCTGTCTTTCTTCTGTATTGTTAACATTGGTTTGTTTGTTTTAATTAAAATCATTTTTTTTTTTTGCAGCGCTGGGGATGGAACCAGAGGCCTTGTGCATGCTGGGCCAGTACTGTACCACAGAGCTACATTCCAGCCTGAGAGACTGTCTTAATGCTCTTGTGTCTATAAGCAGCCTGAGGCACTTAGTGTCTACTGGGACCCCCACCCCTACTCCCCGAGCCGGGGATGAGCTTTGGTGGTTGTGTGTGACTCTCTGATCCATTTGACGTTGAATTCCACAGGAGCTAAGGCAGAAGCTGGATGTGGGGCCGGAGATGATTCCCCTCCCCCTTGCTCATCTTGCGGGCAGCCCCCTTTGAGTAGTCCTCAGCTTTGTGGTTACGGAAAGCTTAAGGATCCTTTTCTTGTCTTTCTAGGCTTCATCCCGTGAAGCCGATGAACACAACAGCCACCAAGATTGCAAACCCCAGCTTGGGTACTGCTGCCATCATCAGTGAGAACACGATCAACGAAGCCACTATAAAGGTATGCTTTCTGAGAATTTGGCATGTTGCTAACATAGGCAGAGCTTGCATGGATAGAGTCACCATTACAGCTGGTCTCCATCTGTGCAGCTACACAGGGGTCTGATGGGAGGAGAACTTGAGCTCCTTTAGTCTGGAGACCAGCCTGGGCAACATAGCGAGATGCTGTCTCGGAACAAACAACAGCGAAAGTTACAGACCTTGGGACAATTCTGGGAATTACTTATGCAGACCTCTGTGTCTGGAGTGTGATAACCTCTAAGGGCCCCCAGACTGTCCATTGAATGGATAATTTTATTTTTCACTACATTCTTTCTTGTCTCTAAGCAATATGATTGCCACTGGCACTGTATGTTTGTGGTTTTTGTTTATTTTGTTTCGTTTTTCTTAAAGACAAAGTCTCTGTAGCCCAGACTGGCCCAGGCAATCCTTATGACTCAGCCTCCCGAGTGCTGGGGTTACACAGGTGCCCCACCATGTTCATCTGGCAGTTCTCCTTAAAGAAAAGATTTCCTTTCCCTTTCCCTTCCGTCCCTCCCTCCCTCCCTCCCTTCCTTTCTTTTGTTTTGTTTCTTTTAGACAGGTTTTTTCATGTAGCCTTAGCTATCCTGAAACTCACTCTGTAGACCAGGCTGTTCTCAAATTCACAGAGATCCACCTGCCACCAGCACCCAGAATGCTGGAATTAAAGGCGTGCACTATCACATCCCGGCTTCTTTTTTATCTTTAGGCAAGAATATAAAATTCTTGATACAGACGTGCTGGATTTTATCACTGTACTTCAAAATGGTTTCCAACATTTACAAAGTTGCAACAATAGCACAAAGAACTCCTATAGACTGCCATCCGGATTCCCCGGTTGTTCACATTTACCCAGTTTGCATTATCTTTTTTGTTTGTTTGTTAACAAACATTAAGTGTGGGTCTGGTACCTAAGGAGGCCAGTAGAGGGCACTAGGTCCCCTGGAACTGGAGTTAAAGATGGTTGTGAGCCACCATGTGGGTGTTGGAAACCAAACGTAGCCCTTTACAAGAGCAGCAAGAGCTCTTAAACTGATGAGCCGACTCTCCTGCCCCTTGTCTGTCTGTGTGTCTGTCTGCCTGCCTATTTTTGATTGGTTGGCTGCTTGACTTGACTGATGTACTAGGCATTGAGCCCAGAGAGAAGCAAATGCCTCTTTTTCAGAAAGTAAACAAGACCCTCGATTCCCATTTTATGCCCTCTTCCCTGTTCATTTAATCAAGGGTTTATCTCCCGGGACTGAGTGGACAATAACTTAGTAAAAAAGGTGCCCTTCTCACTCTGCCTCCTGTGTGTGCTCACTGCTGCCCCTCGGCCTGCCATAAATCTCTTGGGCTTGGACCCTCCCAAGTAAATATTCTAGGTAAATACAGAAAGCTCCTGGAAGACTGCTGTTGGCTTTCTAGAGAAGAGCAGCTTTGTACTAGGCATAAAGCAGCGTTTGTAAAAAAATAACTTCAAAATAAGAGAGTCTGGGGAGAGAAATCACAGAGCCAAAGTAAAGGAAAAGCTAGTGAGGTCATTGCAACAGCGTTGTTTGGGTTTATTCCCTTGGCTGTTGTTTTAGGTCCTCCATTAAATAATCGTTTTGTGAGTTTGACAGTTTCACACGACTATACAATGTACTGAGATTATTTATGGTCCCCTCCTAGTACTCCTTCTCCACCCCGCACTCCGCGCTCACCCCGCTTCTGCGGCTCTCCTTTCTCTTCCTAAGAGTGCTTCTCCTACCCCATGTCCCGTCTGCCTGTAAACTGCCACAGCTGTGTACTCGTGAGTGCAAGGCCGCGTCCTCCCGGCAGCACGCCTGAGCTAAGTGAGACCTTGTCTCAGAAAGAAGGCTGTGGAGGGACAGCAAAGAGGAAAGAAAAAAAGAAAGCCGGGTGTGGTGACACACACTGGTAATCTCCAGTATTGAGTGGTGGAGGCAGGAGGGTCAGAAACTCAAGGCCAGTATGGGGGGCGCGAGGTCCTATCTCATAGAGAAGGAAGAGATGGAGAGCAACCAAGTTGTTACGGATTTAATAATGCTGGGCCCATACTTGCTAAACACACACTCTGTCACCAAGCTACATGCTCAACCACTAATTAGTGTTTCTTAATAAAACCCTTATATAGAGAGAGGTGTAGTCTACAAACCTCCGGGGCATGTTTCTTGATGTGAAACGTCAGTGGACACTTTTTGGTTTTTCTAGACAAGGTTTCTACAGTCCCGGAGTGCTGGAACTCTCTGTAGACCAGGGTAGCCTCGAATTACAAAGATCTGCCTGCCTCTTCCCAGGTGCTAGGATTAAAGGCGTGTGCCACCGCCATCCGGCAGTGCACGCCTTTTCTGTGGCAAACTGCATTTGACAAGAAAAGACGGGGTCTCACTCTGTAACCCTGACTGGCCTGGAACTGGCCTCAAACCTGTCTACCTCTGCCTCCTGAGAGCAGGATTAAAGGTGTGTGCTTCTACGGCCAGCCTCAAGCCTCATATCATTTTTTTAAGCATAATTTAGTATTGTTAAGTACATCCACGTGTGTGTCCAACATCCAGAACGCTTGTAGACATGAAACTGATTTTTAGACTTTTTTTTTTTTTTTTTTTTTTGAGATACTGTGTCACCATAGCAAAGGCTGGTCTAGAACTCGCTTCATGATGCAGGCACTCATTTTGAGTGCTGGGATTACAGGTGTGTGCCATCATGCCCGATTTGAATATAGTCTTGGAGGTCACACACACAGTGACTGCAGGGGTAGAGCATTGATGTGTCACACACAAGACCCGGAATTTAATCCTTAACAGCAAGAACACAAACAGTGACCAGAAAAGGTCACCCCCTCTGAATAGATCCTCAACAAGATGAAAGGAAAAAAGCGGGGCTGGGGGATGGAGAAGCAAATGTTGGAGAAATAGCCCAGAATCTCGATTATTCATGTACCATCTGACTTGGACTCAAGCTTGCTGTGTCTGTGAAAACAGCAGCCAGGGAGAGCAGGATTTCTCTGAATTCGGTCTCCTTGGGCAGTTTGCTCCCTGGATGCGGGAGGAGGCTTCTGTGCTGTTGTTGCTATTACTGTTACTATTACTCTGCCCCGGCTCTGCTTGGAGGTGGTAGGCTCTTGACTTATTGGTCTTCCTGGTAGAAGTTGAAAGTGGCAAGCTCTCAGGGAAAAAACAGGTTACTGCCCTGGAATTCTCTGGGCAGAAGTCACCTTGAGTTGCTCAGGAGTCCTGCTTTCCTGATTTATAAATCTGCTAAGCTGCAGATTGCCAGGCCCGCCCGCCTTCTTACTCCCTCTCAAGACCTTGACGTGACTGGTTACTTCTTAGCGAGTCCCTTATCTCTGATTTCCCTTTGGCTCAGAAGTCTTTGGTTTGCAGTTAGAGTCTCCTTGTCCCAGATGATAAATGTTCATTAAAAGTGACTGTTCGGGACACGCGCTCCCCTCAGAAACAGGGACAGTCAGGCTTTGGGACAGGCTACCACGTACCCAGAGAGTGTGTACTCAGGTGACCTGTGAGGTCCATGGCCCGATGGCACGTGGCTTTAGCTATACACGTTTTGAGAGTGTGGAGTGAGTTTTGGTAGGGTCTCAGAGGGCGCCTAGGGGTAGCAGACTGACGTCACTGGCTAATACCCAACAGCGTTGGCAGGAGGATGCGCCCCCACATCTTTGTGCGCCACCTTGGGGCTTGCTTGTCCCAGCTCTGTACCGATAGCTGGTTGTATGACTCCAGGAGCTTTAAAGGAGATCAAGCGGTTCATCCACCTCAGCCTCCCAAGTGGCTGGGCTCAGGTGTGCACACTAGGATTACCTGACGCTGCTTTCTCCGTCTCCCGCCAAGGCCTCGTTGTGTTCCTTCCCACCGCCCCTTTTAGTGTACGTGGTTGTTTTGCCTGTGAGCATGAGTGTGCGTCCATGTGGGCGGGGCCGGGGGGTGCTGGAGGAGGCTGAGAAGAGAGTGCAGGGTCCTGGAACTGGAGTTATAGATGGTTGTGAGCCACCGTGTGGGTGCCAGGAATTGAGCCAGATCCTCTGAAAGAGCAGCCAGTGCTCTTAACTACTGAGCCATGGCTCCAGCCCCCTCACTACATTTCCTGACAACATGTACCTCGAGTCAAGACGAGGGCTCTGACGGCTAGGAGTCAAGGAAGGTTTCTGCTTTTTAAGTGTTGTTTGCGATGCCTTGGCACTTTTCTCAGTCAGCTGCCTGGTTCCAACCTGTGTTGAAGTGCATTTCCATGCCAGGTGTGATTGCACACACCTTTAATCTCAACACCTGGGAGGCAGAGCCAGGCCGATCTTCGAGTTCATGGCCAGCCTGGTCTACAGAGCGAGGCGCTGAAGAATAACAACAAAATGGGCTTCTGAGAGACTCTGACGGCCGCTGACATTGTCTTCGCATTCCTTTCAGATGTCTGGTTTCTCTGTGGCTTGTAACCGTTTCTCTCTTCTTTCCCTCCCCAAAGAAATACCAGCCGTCGGATCCTGCCTTCGCCTACGCACAACTGACCCACGACGAGCTGATCCAGTTGGTCCTCAAACAGAAGGAAACCATCAGCAAGAAGGAGTTCCAGGTGCGAGAGCTGGAAGACTACATTGACAACCTGCTGGTCAGGGTCATGGAGGAGACGCCCAACATCCTCCGAGTGCCGTCTCAGCTTGGCAAGAAGGCCGGAAAGATGTGACCTGCAGGAGGGAAGTGGAGATGTTTTGTGATCTTGTGTCCGGTGCCTCTTGAGGTCAAGGGTGTGTGGTCTGCCTAATAACCAGCACACAGGCTCCCATTACCGGGTGTGTGCCTTGTCTGTCAAGAGTCAATTCTCCTAGTTGAAACCAGGTTAATTATTACAATGAATCTTGTCTATACATTCCCAGAGTGTGTGTTTAAATGCCACGGTGCCTTTAACTAAGTTGTGAATGCACGATTTGATCCTGAGCCATCGATTCAGGGGGCGCCATCGGAACTAATGTATTTTAACACTGGGGTTGCTGCCCTCTGGTACCGAGATTTTTCCAGTATGTATCCTCCATGAAGCCAGGCTTTGGCTGAGATCAGAAAGGGACTCTACTGTGGGACCGTTTTACCTCCTTTCTTGGTGTTGGAGCAGCTCAAGTATGGCATATGCTAAATTTTTATGTCTTGTGAACGTCCGAAGAGTCAAGGGTTGTTTGGGTAGGGTTTTTGTTGGGGGAGGGGCATTGTTCTGTTTTTAAGATGGGCTCTTGTCTAGTCCAGGCTGCTCTTGAACTCACTGTATAGCTGAGACTAGCCTTCTTAGACTTTGAACAAGCTGCCTCTTCCATTTCCTTCTACCTTCTAGCCTTAAAAGTATGCTCTTGTGGATGGGGAGATACAGCCCAGTGGGTAAAGGGCCTGCAGTAGCTGCAGACGCTGGAGGGGCGGGGGCGGGGGGAGGGGGAGCAGGGACAGGACAGGCAGATCCCAGGGCCTCACTGGCCAGCCTTTCTAGCTGAAACAGGGAACTCTGGATTCAGTGAGGGACCCTGTCTTAATAACGTGAAAAGCTACCTTAAACCTCCGCCCTTCATATTCTCCCACATAGGTGAGCGCGCATGCGCACACACACAGACATGCTCCCACACCCACAAGCACATACACACAGCGTGCTCTTTAGATCCATAGGGCCGTCTCCCGGAGATATGAAGGAATTAAGGGGCTCAGCCGTTAAGAGCACTGACTGCTCTTCTAGAGGGACCCAGGTTCAATTCCCAGCACCCACACGGTAGCTTACAACTGTAACTCCAGTTCAAGGGGATCCGACACCCTCACACAGACATACATTCAGGCGAAACACCAATGCACATTTTTAAAAAAAGTCACTTTCCATCTAAGTAGGAAAAAATGGTCAGAGCCCCTCCTCTCGTGCTGACAGGGCTCCTGTTGCTGGATTGGCCTCTCCGGTGTCTGGAGAGAGGACTAAGCGATCCAGATGCTTGCTCCAACATCTGTGACGTAGAGAATGACTAGGAAGGGTCCTTTGGCTACGTCCTTCATTCCACGTCCTTGCTCCCATTTACTTATCTTGCTGGCTTTCCTGGCAGCCTTCTGGGAAGGGAGTAGCCAGAGTCCACTAGTTCCTCAAGATGAAGGAGCCCTGGGCTAGGGCACGGTTAGTACACAGTGGCAGAGCACTTCCTCCCTTGCCCCCACACTTGCCACTCCACCCCCAGACCTACCACCCCCACCCTTGCCACCCTCACCCCAGACTTAACCACCCCCATTCCAGGCTTGCTTTTTGATTGCTACTTCCTAATTTGGGGGAGTGTTTTTGTTGCTATTTTGAGGCAGAGTCTCACTGGCTTCAGACTTTCATCCCTCCTGCCCTAGCTTTACAAATACTGGGATCACTGATATGTGTCACCATGCCTGGTAGATTGCTGTAATTTTTAAAATAGATTTTTATATATATAACTAGTTTATATATAGAGAGAGACTAGATTTACATATAAATCTAGTTTAAAATATAGTTATATATATACACATGTGTGTGTATATATGTGTGTGTATATATATACATATATATATATATATAATTTTTAGAATCAGCCCCATTTTCACCAATAGAGGGAATTTCACTGCTGCTCACCTCATCCTGGAATTAAAGTGTTTCATGTTGCTCTTTTTTTTTTCTTCCTGATTGTAATGAAATCTTAACGTCTCTGCTAGGGGCAATCCCAGGCCAGTGGAATGGACAGGGTGGAGGTAGTGGTTATTAATGAAGAATCTCTGTCTGTCTGTCCTTGTCATCCGGAAGATGAGGGGCATTGACTACACTGGAGCACTTTAATCTGAAGGGCAAGACTGTCACTTGATTTATCTAATTACCTGTTAAGGTCCACACCTATTTTTATTTAATCCCTCCTACAATACTAGGGACCACTGCAAATCTCTGAGGTGGTTTGTATTTTTTTTTTTTTAGCGTTGCAAAATTCATTAATACGCCTATAAAGGAAACTATATTCACTTGAACTCTGAAAATGTACATGTATATGTCTGCTCTGCATCGTGTTTTTTTTTACTTGATAAAAATGCATTTTTACTGTGATAACCTAAGTGCATGGGGGAGGGGAGGGCACCGGTTCTGTTAACAACAAGTCTGGAGGGCTCTGCTGCTCCTGAGACCTTTGGTATGTTACTGGGTCAGCACCAGAGAGGACCATCTAGGTGGGGTGAATTCCTGGGCTCTGAAATGCCACTTGGGAACTCTGGAGAACTAAGAGTGGTTTGCCTCAAGGGCTTGACTGGAAAACATTGGCATTTCCAACCTAGCTGTAGCTCAGAGTACATAGAGGCCACAACTATTCAATGACTGTTCTTGAATGTGCATTTGGGGGCTGAGGGAAGCCTATAGGAAGCCGAGTCTGTGTTGAGCCACTGGCGGGGGCAGAGGTTGGTGATGTGGAGAGCCCTGGAGCTACTGAAGCTGGCCACTGGCTCGTGCCTGTAGCTACTCCTGAAGCCAACATGAGGAGCCCTGGAAGGGCCTGCGCTCTGGAAAAAAAGAGGGGCTTTTTCCTTGCCCTTGCCTGGCTGCCTCCAGAAAGCCCAGCCAAGGGCGTGAGGGAGCACTGGATTAAATACCAGCAGACTCCAGTTGGAGGTCAGTTTCCTGAAAAACAGTGGCCCAAGTGTTTCATACCATCTTATTCTTAACCTTGGCACATGTCCTGGCCTCCCTGTTTTATTCCAGTATGTTACAGGAAGGAACGAGCAACCCTGCCTTGTGCCATGTTCCACAGCTGTGCACATGTGCGATAGATGAGCCATGTGCTTCCAGATTCTAAGTTCTCAGGGCACCAAGAGAGGCTGGTCCATGATGCTTTCCCAGTTGCTCTTTTGAGGCCAGAGTTCTTCATCCCTGTGTTTTTTTGTTTGTTTGTTTGTTTTGTTTTGTTTTTCTACTCATCCCTGTGTTTTGTTTTTTTTTTTCCCCCAGTCAACCTTTCTTCGTTCCCTTTACTTTCGTGGTGTTGGGGATTAAACCCAGTGTCTTGTGCAGGTCAATGCTGTGCTCTCCCACCGAGTTACACCCGCAGCCAGTCCTCCACCCTGCTTTGTGATGCTTTATCTTTGTCTTTTTAGGCAGGTTCTCACGTAGCCCAGGTTAGCCTCTGCCTCCCCTTCACGTGCTGGGAATATCAGGATGCCACCACTCCCAGCTTTTTCTTTATTCTTTTGGCGGTGGAGTAGGGTACTGATTATTAAGGATCCTTCAAGACTGAAAAGCAGTCAGTTGCCTTAGATGGCAAACATGAACCCACGCCAACCCCAACTCTGGATTCTCCTACCTGCTTTGTGAGCTACTGAGTTGACTTTCCTCTTCAACTGCAGGCTCAGTGGTGTTTTAAATTACAGGATTACTGTTCCCTGGGTGTTGCTTTGGGGATTTTGAAGTTGACTGGTACTGCTTTTAAGAAATACCTAAGATGGGCAGTGGTGGCGCACGCCTTTAATCCCAGCACTCGGGAGGCAGAGGCAGGCGGATCTCTGTGAGTTCGAGGCCAGCCTGGTGTACAGAGTTCCAGGATGGCCAGTACTGTTACACAGAGAAACCCTGTCTCGAAAAACGAAACAAAAAGAAATACCCAAGGGATTAGGCGTGTAGCTCAGTTAGTGCGGTGCCTGCTTTACACACACAAAGCTCTAGGTTTGATCCCACCCTCCTCTCACCCTCCTCTCACCCCCTCCCACCCCTGTACTACATAGACTGAGCATTGTGGTGTCCACCTGTAATCCCAGCCAACACTTGGGAGGTGGAAACAGTGTGACCCGAGGTTCCACTTCATCCTCAGCAGCACAGGCATTTTAAATCAGGTGGGGATATGTGAGACCTTGTCTTAAAATTAAAAAGAAAAAAACCTTAAAGTTTTCTAACACTAAATAAAAAGATACTTCTTTCAAAGATTTGCGTCTGTACTTTACTTTGGGTGTGATAAAAGTTCCTTCTGTCTTGTTGGAAAACTTCCTGGGGTGATAGTATCCCATGATGGTCTCTCATGGGAAGCCCTGCAGCGACCACAATTGTGCCAAAGGGTGCCCGAGCTCCTCTGGAGAGGACAAACATCTCCTTCCTGCCTTTTCCTAGTCCTCATCTTATTCTGAGGGATCATGGCTTCAACACCATGTGACTATCTACCCAAACATTACAGAGAGAAGTCTTGGCCTGGGGTTCAGAAGTACCCCAACCTGAGAAGCAGATCCCTGGTCAGCTCTGCTGATCCATTAGAAGCCGTTAGGGCAGACAAAGGCGTCTCCTCCCAGGCATATCTCACTCCGCTCACATTTCCTTCGAGAATAAGTCTGTCTCAGCAGGAAGAGCATCTACTGGCCTCAGGTGTGCACCATGGCTCGTAGGCCTTGCTCCAGAGACTCTGGAGAGGAGCAGATACTGTTTCCCTCGAGGTGAGATGACATCGCAGAACCCATGATGCTCTAGGCTGGGGCAGGGGCTTCCATGGGGCATTTAATGGAGTGTCTGCATTAAGGAATTTGCAGATTTATATTTATTTGTATTCTCTCATTTGGGCTTTTTTTTATGGTACTAGGAATTTTTATTTTTCCAAAGTTTTCATAAATGACTAGCACTGTGAGATTTGGTTCTCTTGATCCCTCGTTTGCAATTCTTTCAGTTTGGTTCCTGCTACTGCTACCAAGCTCAGTGCATAGTCAGCCTAGTGTTTGCAAATTCCAGCTCAAGGAAGGACGCTTGTCTTGTCTTAACTTGGCTATTATTAGCAGAAGGCTTTTATGCTGGTGGGTGGGTGGGTGGGTGGATGGGTGGATGGATGGATGGATGGATGGATGGATGGATGGATGGATGGATAGAACGAACATAAAACGGGAAATAGCAATATGAACAGAATAAAAAGGAAACTCCCAAATCTGGACTTGGGAGCAGAAGCTGAGGCCGCAGGGATCAGCAAGCACCCTCCATGACAGCCAGGTCGTCTCGAGTAGTCCCCGGTGCTGACTCTCACCTACGCCAGGACATTTTTGTTCTGTACAAGCAGATGCTCTTTAACAGAAAGACCACTGTTTCGTTTTCAGTCTCAACTCTTTTCCAGAGCCTCATGTGAAATGCTGGGCGACCAGCAAGACGGCTTTGCACTAGAGGTGCTTGCCACACAAACCTGGGACCTGAGTTGTCCTAAAAGCCCACCGTGGAAGAAGAGAACTAGTCCCTGTAAGGTGTTCTCTGTCTCCACATATGTACTGTGATGTGCAGCGCACAACGCCTGTCTGCACTCCATGCACTACCATACAGTTCACGAGCTTTGGGCAAGGGGCTGGAGGTTGAAACATACAAAGACAAACAGAGACAGACAGACAGAGACACGGACCTCTAGACACTGGTAAGAAGCCCTTTATTCAATAGCACCATGGAGGCTTATATACCCAACAGTCAGGTGGGCCAACAGGTGAAAACCTTATCCTCTGATCCTCAAGGCAAGGCAACACGTGCTCGTGAAGCAGAACTGGTAAACAACTTTGACACAGCTTTCAGTAACTCAAATCAGAAGGAAAGTAAAGATCTCTAGCAGGGAAGAGCAGCTGGAGGCCAGGACTCCAAATGGTCCCAACGGTGGCGCATGCATGCCTGTATGTACAGACACTGATAGCTGATTTTTGAACAAATGCTTGATTTGTCAGCCTGTGGCACTCTTGGGAGGTAATCGACGTGCTAGGAGGGAGATGTAAAAATAATTTAGGTCATTCATCGATGGTACTGGTAACGCTATCCTTTCTTGGGTCTCTTTCCCGGCCACCACGAAGGGTCAGCAAAGCTCCACCATGTGTCCCAGCCATGATCTGGTGCTGTGACGCAAACAGAGCAGAACAGCCAGGCAGCCTTGCATGAAAACCTGAAATGGGAAACCAAAGCAAACCTGCCTTTCCAGCAGATCTCACCGGGTCCTTTGCTCCTCTCGTGGGAACAACACAGCCACAGTACCTGTTTTGAGCATACCTCATGACATGACCGCAATCTGCAACAGTCTATACTTTGCAACATGAACTGATAAGGGTTCAGAGGGAGACACACACCCCACCCCCACCCCAGCTAACCACCACCCAAGAAGAGCCAGGACCTTTTTGACAGCTTATGACTGCCACCTATGGGCCAAAAGGAGGACTTGCTGGATGAGGGCCCCCTGGCCTCAGCCCACCCGTGGAAAACAACGCTAGACAGGTGTTGTCCATCCTTCAAATCCAAAGTGTCAGCACACAGCTGTCCTTAGCTTAATAACCAGACAGATGGATCTGGCATTTGGGGCTTCTTTTTTTGTCACCAACTTCAGGATATTTGTGCTTTGCCTCTTGGGGCATACTGACCTAAAACTGGCTTAGTTGGCCCAGCATCTCCCACAATCAAAAACTCAAGAGTAAATATTCTCAGCATTTTAATTCTCTTGTTCTTTCCACACAGAAACCTGTATCCTGCGCTCTGGAAAGGGCCGTGTTGGAGACAGGGTCGAGGGGAGAAAGCTGCGTCTGTCCTTGCTTGTGGCCGAGTGCTCGGTTCAGACTGCACCTTCACTGCAGAAGGGAGCGCTGAGATACTGACTCTATTAGACAAACGAGACAAACTTAGACATGAAAAGCTTAGCTGCCTAAATATTTTTCAAGTGTTTTCTATTTTCATGGATATGTCTGTGTAAGTGTAGTCTCTGTGTGTGTGTGTGTTGGGGGGGGGCAGTTAGACTATGGGTGCCCTTGGAGGCCAGCTGGAGTTACAGCCAGTTGTGAGCTGACCAGTGTGGGTGCTAGGAACCCAATTCAGGTCCCCTGGAATAGTATCAATTACTCCTAACCACTTAGCCATCTCCCCAGGCCTATGGGATTCCACTTTAAACAGTTTGGAGAGATGTCTCAGTAACTGCTTTTACCAAGGACCTGAATTTAATTCCCAGAGCCCCTGTCAGGCAGCTCACAGCTGCCCATAACTCTAGCTCCAGGGGATCTGAAACCCTCTTCTGGCCTCCAGGATACCCACATAGGTCTGCAAATACCTACACACAGACACATTCGGTATAATTAAAAATAAATCCTTAAGAAGAAACAAAACACACTCTTTGTTGTCTCATTTGTTGTTTGACCTTTTTCTCTTTTGGCTTTTTTAGGGGGGCCCACCACCCAGCTCCCAAATAAATCACACATGGAGGCTTAGTTATGAACACCTGGCCATATATATATATATATTGTAGGCCAAATGTAGCCCCTGCCTTTAATCCCAGTACTCAGGAAGAAGAGAGAAGCAAGAAGATTACTGTGAGTTTGAGGCCAGCTTAGCCTATATAGTAAGTTCCAGAACAGCCAGCTAAGTAGTGAACCCTGAATCCTGCCTTAAAAACAAATAACCCAACAAATTAAAATGTATTCTTAGCCAGCTGCCAGCGTCTACCAATCCAGGGGCTAGAATGTCATCAGACAGTGTCTGAAACCCTTAGAAAAGGTTTACCCACTACTGTCTAGCATGCCTACCTGTGGCCCCACCACTGTATTGGTGAATATTTGGCTTTCTTTGTTCTAGAACTAATGCACTTTCATACGGTGCACTGTTATTGGAGAAAATTGAATCTCTTCCAAGGCGCTTCTCCTCCTTTTTGGCTCTAGCATAAACTTTTCCTTATCTTCTTTGAGGTGAGAACTATGTTTCTTTGCATGTTACTCTCTGAAGACATCTAAGTCTATCACTCAAAATGTTAATTCAACAGTGTTGGGAGCTGTGAACCCCCCAGATCCTGAATTTCTTGTAAACAACTTGTAATGCTTGCAGCTGCTCTGAGCACAAAACCCTCGGGAGTTCCTGATGGCAGGAAAGTGGTTTCTGGTGATGGCTATCAGGTAAAAATCCCTATATAAGCTGCCCCTGGACACAATAAAGGGGGGGCATCTTGGCATCAAGGATGGCCTGTGTCTGTGTGTGTCTTTGTGTGTTTCAATCTCCAGTCCCTTGCCCGGTTCACGAACTGTATGGTAGCCCATAGAGCACAGACGGGCATGGTGCGCTACACAACAGTCTTGTTCTAGTTATTTATTCATTTAGAGACAGATTCTCATTATATTGTTTTGGCTGGGCTGAACTGAGATGTAGGCCAGGCTGGCCTCAAACTCTTTGTCTCCCCAAAACTAGGAATAAGGGAGTATGCCAACATACCCAGCTATTTTGATTTATTTGTGATAAGGTCTCCTGTAGTCCAGGCTGGCCTCCAACTTGTTATATAGAGGAGGATGACCTTGAACTCCTGATCCTCCGGCCTCCACCTCCCAAACACTAGGATTACAGGTGATCCAAGTCCAAAAAGGGATCACGCCTAGTGGCGCAAGCCTGTAATCCCAGCAAGCGGTAGGTGGGAGGCAGAAATAGCAGTATTCTAGGTCAGCCTAGGCTCCATAAGCAAGATAATCTTAAAATAAATAATAAATGATATAAAAAAAACAACAGTGTTTCGCAGAGAGCAAATTCCTTAATCTCTAACGTGGTCCGATTGATCTCAAGACACCAGAGACCCTGAGACACAGCTAAGCCCAGGAACCTTCCTTTCGAACTCATGTTTCTACACGAGTCCACAGACGAGATCGGAAGTGGCGTGCAGCAACGGGGCGGAGCAAACCTCCAGCCGGTTATCCAGCTGACCGGAAGAGGAAGGTGCAGCGGAATAAGGTCCCCTCCCACTTTTCTGTAGCTGGGAGTTCTTAGGAGCGGGTATCCCGGCGCTATCGCGTCGCTGGACAAATGCTGAGATGCCGAGCGGAAGCCGCTGCCCGGATTGCGGTTCCTCTGAGCTCGTGGAAGACTCGCATTATTCTCAGAGCCAGCTGGTGTGCTCCGACTGCGGCTGTGTGGTCACCGAAGGGGTCCTTACTACCACCTTCAACGACGAGGGCAACCTCAGAGGTACCCT